TGAAACTACCAACTGAAGCTCAAGTACCTCGGTTACACATGTGCAAGTAAATAAATAAAGTATATGTCTGATGCATCAAGGAATATTGAGAACAAATTATATCAGAACAATGCTTTCACGGCAAAATTAAAACATGGAGACATAATGATTTAATTAGACGAATTCTTATAATTTAATCAAACAATCACATAGACCTTTGATTAAGTGATAATTGGCGAGATGGGTCTTGTCAATGTTTTTTTTTTTTTTTTTTAAATGTACTGCACAGGATTTGAAGTTCAGGAAAATAATAGCAGGAAGTCTAAATTTAAACAAAATACCAGAGTGTTAAGCACATATCACACATATGAGGTAACACATGTTATAAATATATTGCAGACGTGGTTCACACTGCGGGATTCACCAGACTTCATTGATACAGTGTGCGACGATTTAAACTTTCGAGTCCGATTCGGACTTCTGGTATTTTGCAGAGTTCATTTTGTTAGAGTGAAAATGCAGAACAAAGTGGAACTTACCAAGTGACAGTGTGATGAGACAGATCTGCATAGCCATTGCCACCCAACTCAATAAGTAAATGAACCACATTTTGCAAGCCTATGTGTATTCCTTGTTTCGACGACGAAATAGGGGAATTCCAAAATGGCGAATGTTGACCTTTATGTTGTGTTGAGGGCGCTGTAACTTGGAGTAAACCATTATCATTTAAGTTGAGGGGTGCTTGTTCCCATTTTAAGAATCGTCAGGAAGCAGTGATTCGTGCGAGTTTTTATTTAACACCTACCTACTATCTGTTTTTTAGATAAAATAAGTTGTGCGCTAACAAACTTAGACAATAATAAATCACCAACAAATTTATAACGAAACCTACTCATTCGAATGTTACTTCCTGTAATACCTTTCCGTAATATAACATGCAAGCTGCCGTCTGCAGAACAATACAGGAAAATCTGGCAGACAGTGTGTTGATTATGTGCGCAAGGGAGGATTTTATTTTGGTCATTTTTGTCCAGAACTGAACTTTGAGTCATGTCAGACATAACCCAATCGTCTGGAGTAGTTAGCGAACGAGATGGGTCAGAATTCGAGCAGCAATAACCATTCAAATAGCAGAGGTAAGAAACGAAACGCAGGCAGCTTTTTGCGAGCCAGTGCACGAATCGTGTGTACATATTGCAGTGTTGACGTATTGAGTGGATGGACAAGTGTGATAGTATATGTGGTTGCGTAGCTAGTAGAATGAAGCAGCTGATGATCAGTGTTATTTATTGTGCGCTGGAAACATCATGGTTTTGCCCTATTTGTCAGGGGGCGTGTGGCATGCTGCCGTGACGAGATGTGAAACTCTAAATATAGGACAACCATCGGCGAGTGCAATCGAGGCAGCCTGCAATGCCTATAAGTGTGAGACGTTTTTTACAAAAGATCACATTCCAAACTACACATGGGATAACATTCTTTTGTTGGTACGATTATTGGCAGTTCTAGTCGTGTTCGCCGATTAACAATACACACTGTTTATTGCCGTGTATTTATAAACATCGGCGTACAAAATATAATTATGGCTGTGGAAACTCAACTTGACCACCTACACCAGTTCGCCTCTGTTTAAAAAATGGACGGGGACACTGACTCATTGTCATGTGGGATAGCCACACCTGCGTCTACAGAACCTCTAGATTTAGGCTTAGATAAGAACATCCCAGGAGGGGTGTGTTCACTTTCATATGTTTCACTAAATTGGTTTTGAGCATTCATCAGTTGTGCACTCATAGTCAGTGAACCAACTTGTAGGACTTCCCAAAACATTTGTGTTTTTTGTTATTGATTATCAGTAAACAGACGTTTTTTTATGTGTTGAGCTCAATATGCAATATTATTTTCAGTATTTTGGTTATATTAGTATAAATTTTGCAAATTAACAATTATATAAATTGTAATAGATTGTAATGGATGAGGGGATACGACTTTGGTGATATGCAAAAAGTTTTAAACAAATTCAAAATTTAAGAAATGTTATAAACCTTGATTATTGGAGTTTACTCAGTAACACTTTCTATCACGTTTTACAACTGTAATTTGTCAGAACAACTAATTTTAGAAATTCATATGATATTCAGAAAAAAATCATTTATCATATCACGCATATATAAATTTATTACTCATCGATACATAGACGTATGTCTCTACATTAAGTTTATGGCAAATTTTTGGCTCAAATTTGCCAGAAAACCAGGAAAAGTATTGATTTAATTCAGCAATAATTTACAAGTTTAGAAAAAAAAACATTCCTGTCAAATGAATACATTTACTTTTGTGTACCAATGAGAATTAAATCGAAACTATTCATACACATAAAAAACATAAATTAACTTTTCCAAAATAAGTCTAATATACCGTATGTTATTAATTTCTGATGGTGCAAATAGAAGTCATGTAAAAAATATGAATTCTATATATACCAATGCAAATTATGCGAGTTCACGTTTTGGGATTTTAATAAAATCTTCATATAGCCACATACATGGTCATTAAAGTTGTATTTATTATCTTTGGTAAAGTAGTAATATTCACATCTTAACTTAAAGAGTGCACACTTCTGGGGCTATGTTAATAACTTGTGTTGTAAATGATAAAGATACAACAAGAGGTATTTCTGATACACACAAAACAGACAGCCTTTCAACTTTTACAGTTTCGTCAATGCCATAGGAAGTATAGGCGTCATCTATTTTAATCTTGACATGCTATAAAATTAGATAAGTTTATCAAAAATCTTGCCAAATCAAATTTAGTCTGGGATACTTTTATTTCGGGCATTGAATTTTAACATGTATGTTTTTGAAAATAAACATGTGAATGTTGGTTGATTGACTTTGTTACTTTTTCTTTCTTTTTTTCTGAGCTTTTTTTCCCAATACAAATGTACAAGCAGAAATTCTATTTTGAGCCATAACTAGCAAGATGATATTTCTGCACATGTACACATGCGCATTCTATAGTGACTTGTACTGACACTCGGGCTCACTTGAGCGATCCCCTTTTTTCTACATGTCGGTGATTTCCATTGCTTAATTAATTAATGAACAATTGTCATATAGTAGAATTCCTTCAGTTTAGAGACTTGATATCACCTGCCAAAAGGAATAGTTTTTAAAATTTATGATTTAAGTTATATTCGTGCATTGAATTGATGAATTGTATGATCAATCGCTGAGTAGAATAGGAGGGAGATATTTGATCCCCAAGATGATGTCTCAGATAGACAGGATTTCCTCCTGTCGGAATGATGAAGATTGCATTCAATAATAGATTTGTCATGACAAATATGGTGTTATTAGTAGTCTGTCAGACTACATAATTTGTTTGATGATGCATGCAGGTTGCTTGCCCAACCAATCAATAACAGTGTGTATTTAGAGAGTTGTTGACTGTTTGATATTTTACATCTAGTTTGTGATCACTTTTACATGGACATGTGCGAGTCTGATCAGTTTTCTAGGTCTTGAACAGTTTTATTGATTAAATGTAAATTTCAATGCAGGTTTGAAAATCACTTTTATTCTGTTTTATGAGATGAATTTATTTTAATGTTAATTTCACAGCTGGATCAGGACGTAGCCAGGATCGGCTGACGGGAGTGGCATTAACACCTCCAGGTATTGTGAGCAATAGTAACAGTCCAACATCCACGTCATATAATGCTAATGAACCATTGAAATTTCATGGTCTGCATGGAAGTAACGTAGTTCTGTCACCTGATGGAAAATCAGCACGACGGTCAGGGAGTTTCTGTAATGCGATTGTCTTCACGAACAGACCGGTGAAATGCATGGAGAAAGTGTCTATCAAATTTACGGACACCACTGGGAATTGGAGTGGTGTGATACGTTTTGGGTTCACCTCCCGTAGTCCTGTGGAACTCGGCACAGCACCCTCGCTACCACGTTATGCATGCCCTGATCTAACCAGCAGGCCTGGCTTTTGGGCCAAGGCATTAGGGGAAAGCTATGCAGATAAGAATAACGTGCTGAGTTTTTGGGTCAATAGACAAGGTGAAGTTATGTATTCTGTTAATAATGATAACAAAGGAGTTTTCTTCAATGATGTGGAGACAAATGAACCATTATGGGGCTTGATGGATATTTATGGTAACACAGTAGAGGTGCGATTGACAGGTAGGTTGACTAAATTTGCATTGTTTACATCTATCTGTAAATGCGTAACATATGTATACGTAGCAAACCCCAAGCATTTACGGTAATCCAGATTTTTATGTTGGATTAAATACAGAATGTTATGCTACAGTAGCAAGTATTCACTAAATATTTCATAGCATATATTGGACTGTTGCCAGCAGACATGAACATATATTGCTGAACTCAGAAGAAGAAGAAAAAAAATTATGTAAGTGGATATGTAGAATGTTTTGCTGAAATGTACACTTTTCATTATTTTGAGGAAATTAAATATTAGGGATAATTGTACTAATAGATGTTCCACACAAATGACAAAAACACTCTGAAAGTGGGTAGTACTCATATAGGTACAATGTATAATAATACCTGACATGCACAAATGTTAAAACATCAGTCTTAGACATCAGAACAAAATACTTCAGATTTGTATACAATAAAACACTATGTTGTATGCAAGGTACCGGTAATGAAGTACTTTGCTAACAAATTTATAGCATGTACACAGAATTATGCCAGAAATTTATGAATGTGCTGTTGTTGGCTAAAATTACAGATGTTTGATCTTTTAATACTACCATAATATGCATTCATGAAAGTCGCTGTCACTACCAAGGACGCCAGTGCAATTTTCACTGCTACGAAATTTTGTGAAAATTTGTCTCTATAGCTTCGCAAGTAATAATATTAATGTGCAACTCAAGTACCATTTACCACAGAATTTTGTACAGAAGCATCATGTACCATATGCAAACTCACTGACACTTATGTATACTGTATATGCCATGCTTCTGTGTAATATTAAAGGATTTATTGCTTCAATACAGTAGTCTGATGAAAGAACCTTATGGCGTGTACGTATAAAGTGTTATAATGGGCTAATGAAAAAAAACCTCAACATCAAGCTTTACTATGTACACATACTTGAAGAGAAATGACAGATAAATTATGCTGCAGTATATTGATTCATAAGTAAATATAATGCCTTGATCCGGTTTCCGCGTTTTCTGTCATGTATTGTTGTGGGGCGGAAAATTTTTTTTCAAAATGGAAAACCAAAATAACTATTCTCTTGTAGGGCATAGCCCAAAATAATTAATGTAGTTCCTTGTTCTGTGTAGCTCCCTCATTATAAAGCGATCAGCAAATTTCTAATTAGGAACAGATTACACGATGTATTGTCACATTTTGTGTGTGAAACTGATATATTTATTTGAGTTTTGCATATTATTATGGAACCCAACAAGTCTTGCTTCATACTGTACATTGTGGTCAGTATTTGCCGGAATGTTCATGCATTGTGTTCAAGAAATACTGTAGATGCATTTATTATTCACTGAGTTTTATTTTTGTTGATAAATTAAATCTGTTAAATTAAATCCACTTCATTTTCAACAGTAAATTGTTAAACTTTGAAAATTCATTCATTCTCTTTGTTCCATGCTCTCTCAATCTCATAAATTGAGATTCATGTCACAATTTACTGAATATCTTCAGATGAAATTTTCTTCTTTTACTCATGTCATCTACTCTACCATTAAACTCTCGAAAAAAAATCAAAAGCCTAGCTGTGCTTTGGTCCTTGATCAGGAAGGGCACTGATATATTTTCAATTCTGTAATTCAATAAATGAAAAAAACAGGAAGTGTGGGAAACTAAAAACTACTTGGCCATGCATCAGATGATACCTGTCAATTATTATAAAAATCCAGACTTAGTGTTGAACGGTAATACACAAATGTTTTGCTTTGCCAGTTATGACCTGCTTTGCACATTGGACACTGTCTACATGTAGTTCTTTTATTAGGTCTGTAAGGAGGGGAAAAAAAGAAAGAAAAACAAATTACAATTTATTTTTTAACCTTTCATTCATGTTAGGAATTCAGAATATTTCTTTGAGGAAAATTGACCCTGTATGACATAGAATAATACAGCAATTCTCTAGATACCTCCAGCTTTCAATACAATCCAGGTAATAGTAAATGGAAATGATATTTTTGTAATGGCTAGTGGGATAATAAATGCTATTAAAATAGAAGTCTATTTTTTGCTCCAGTTGATTTGATCAATTTTCATAATTTTTTTATATTAACTCTAATTTTGTTTAATCTAATTTAATAATTTAAAAAGCACAGTTATCACTATTTTTGTCAAGGTCAATCACAGTTTGAAATCATCATGGAATGTACTTTGTAAGTTTTATTATTTTGGAGAGAACTTATTAACTATTTAAACTCTCGTTGGAAACGAGTATATTTTAATAAGTATAAGTGCTCTTTAATAACAAAGAAGTTTAATCTGTTACGATTATATAGTCAAATTGACTCACTTGCAACATAAGATTGTGAAAAATCTGTCCCTTTTATTTAAATTTAGCTTTGTACATTCATGTCGAACTGAACTGAACCGAGCTGTACAGTTCAAATAAAGCGCATATAGTCACTACAGACATGTACACACTTGTTTTTTTGGGGTTAAATGCAACCCTGATGGAGGCTAAACATTGTAACAACATTCCACATGGCCCAAAATTAGGTCTACAGGTACTATTTTCACCCAAAATAACAAATTTATTAATTAATATTGTTAACAGCAGGGGTGCTAACAGTCAGTAGAATGGATTACTCATGTTACAAAAAAATGAGGATATAAATATTAAATTTCAATATTGAGTGTATATTTCAGATGAAAATCTGCTGGGTAAATAAAGGACTGAAGCCAACTTTGTTTAATAATGTGGTTAATTTTTAACCCATTTCATGACAATCATGTCTTTGTTTGCTGGCTTGATACCTTGGTGCTAGGGTAATATAGACTTGCAGTCAATCATACCACATTCCACACTTGCTACATCATTGATGAAAGCATTTTTTTTAATGTTGTGACAATATAGATGTGTCATAGATTTATTAGTTTTCTACAGCAGTGTAGGGCTCATTGCGAGTTTTCCTAAGATGGTAAAAGTGATCGGTTTGTCACATCAGTATATAATTCTTGGCACTGTAAACAGATTTAATTCTACGAAATACACATGTCCTGCAAAATGTTGTACCAGTGAAGATTTCACTTAGGTCACATGACAGGCAATACACAGCGACTTCCATAGAGTGAACCAGCATCAAATTACTAAAATTTGTGTCAGCAAAAATTTAACTGTTTGCGTTATACTCGCTTATTAATAATAAAGACATACTTATTGCAATTTAGTTATACCCTGGTAAAATTATACATATTTGCATTTAAAAAATTTTGCTTATCAACTTTACGCTTATTCCTCACTAATGAAAAAAAATTGTTCTTGGCAAACTAGGAAATTACATAAACATTCCACATAATTCGTGCATAATATCTTTGCATATCAATTACCTAATTTGCATACCGTAATAGTGAACATGCTCTCATCACACAACACTTGTTTCCATTTAAAAATGAATTTCATGATTAACTATTAATATTAAGTTGAAAAGTTGGATTTATATTAACTATTTAGTATGTATTTGTATGTATACATTCAATCATAATTGCACATAAAAAGAAATCATGCGGACATAGTGGTTACCAGCAATTGCCCATCAGTATTTTTATACAAAGTCATATCAGGAGTAATATTGCAGATAGAAACACTCAGTGTTATATTGAAGACATTGCATACTAGATCTGGTCAACATATCTAATATATAGTCATCTATATAGTCATCTGACCTCAATAAAAATGCATAACTATCATATCTACAACATTATTTAGTGCAAATATAGACACTCAACCATTGCTTGAACAAAAATTGCTGGGGGGTCTGCTGTCATCTCTGATTGTTTTCATGTTGAAAAGAATAAATTTTATTAGTGTACATGTATGTATTAATTAGTTTCAACTTGCAATATGAAGTCATTCTTATGTCCTGGATCCCATAATGTATATATTGTACAATCAACACAAGTTTTATTTTTTTTACTGTTCACACTTCTATTACTTGTGCACGCGTGTACACAGCTTGCAGTGCACAACTTTTATTTGGCATATATACCTCATGCACACGTCCTCTGAGATTAGATTGTGTGAGAATTTACTGCAACTTGATACTTGCACATATCCACAGTAAAATGTTCATACACATGCAGTGTGGCATGCTTCAGTTGGGCACAGAGTGCATATGAAGGGTAATACCCTTTACATCTTTAAATTTGCTTCTGTGATACATTGTATCAATTGCTTTGAAAAACACTGAGCAGGACAGACTTATTTGATCTCCATATGAATATAGTTGTTTTAATTAATACACATACTGTAGTAGACCTATGTATCGAAGTATTCCTATTACTAGTTCAGTATTCAATTAGACTAAAATAAACACTTGTAGGGTTTTTGAGTAGTTTCCAATGTGTTAGGGTCAGTGCTAGGTTTAATGGTGTAATAATTAACAGCTGTGCACTCCATGAGTGTGGAGCCACAGATTTGTCTTATTCAAGGCTGGATATCTGTCATACTTTTATCACTGTCTACTGATATATCATTGTATTGAAGTAACTCAAGTATGAAAAAATGAATAATAATCTTGAGGCAGTTTGAGAATTTTTTTTTCACTGTGGAGCAATTTACTGTGCGTGTGTACAATTCATTGAGGAAAAGAGGTTATTATTGTATACTGTAAAAGGATTAATTATTCACTGGGTTTTAATTTTGTTTATTTCTCTGACTGGAAAATGCGCTAAATTAAAACCCAGTGAATATGTAAAATTTAGCATAGAACACATTATCTAAATGATAAAACCGTGAATTTAAAACCCACTGAATATGCCTGAAATGGTAAATAAGCGAAATTTAAACCCTAGTGAAAAATAGTAATTTTACAGTATAATAGATAACTATTATACATTATACCAGACTAAATAGTAACATGACTTCTACATCGCATGTATGCAAGCAAAATTTCAAGAAATAAATAAAACAATTTTAACTACTGTGGAATACTTTATTTTCGCTG